CCAATGTAAAGCATGTACAATGAATTTCTAATTTTAATTTTGAATATTAAAAAATTAATTTTTTAATTATTTTAATACATAAAAGAAATTAAATTTTCAAAATTATTTATTCTGTCAATTGATTCATGCATTGTCTCCTACTTTATGCAAGTCTGCAAAATTTTGAATAGATTGGACAGTTAGAAGTGTGTCAAATATCGATAATAAGATTTGAAGCAGACAAAATTTTTTTTTAATTTTTTTTATTGAAAAAAATAATATGCATTTAAAAATTATTTTTTAAAGACAACACTTCTAAAGAATCCAGTATCTCTGATGTTAAACATGTATAATAATTTCTAATTTTTGTTTTCAAATATGAAAAAAAGTAGTGTTCAAATTTTTTTAATATATAAAAATGTTCAAAATTTTCAAATTTACTTATTCTGTCAACTGAATCATACATTGTCTCAGACTTCATGCAAGTTTGTAAAATTTCAGATCGATTGGATAGGCAAAAATGTGTTGAATATGGATTATAAGATTTGTAGCAGACAAAATTATTTTTAAATTTATCTTAATATTGAAAAAAAATTTAAATTTTAAAATTATTTTATTCTGCCAATTGGTTCATGCATTGTCTTCAACTTTACGTAAGTGTGCAAAATTTCATATCAATTGGACTAGTAGAAGTGTGTCAAATATCAATTATAAGATTTGTAGGAGACAAAATTATTTTAAAATTTTTCCTAATATTGGAATTTTTTTAGATTTTAAAATTATTTATTCTGTCAATTGATTCATGCATTGTCTCCAATTTTACGCAAGTGTGCAAAATTTCAGGTCGATTGGATAGGTAGAAGTGTGTTAAATATTGATTATACGATTTGTAGCAGACAAAATTATTTTAAAATTTTTCTTAACATTGAAAAAAAATGTTTTTAATTTTTAAAATTAATTATTCTGTCCATTGATTCATGCATTGTCTCCAACTTTAAGCAAGTGTGCAAAATTTCAGATCGATTGGAGAGGTAGAAGTGTGTTAAATATTGATTATAAGATTTGTAGCAGACAAACAAGCAACAAGAAGTGAAGTTAAAGAGAAGTGTTGTAAAAAAAAATTAGCAAGTTTTCAAAATTATTTATTATGTCAATTGATACATGCATTGTCTCCAACTTTACGCAAGTGTGCAAAATTTCTGATCGATTGGAGAGGTAGAGGTGTGTTAAAATCAAATATAAGATTTGTAGCAGACAGACAGACAAACAAACACCAAGAAGTGAAATTAAAGAGAATATTTTTATCACTACTATTGAGAAACACTAATTCAGTTTACCTATTTTATGTCTCCATACACTGGCCAAGTGATTGCATTATTGAAGTGTACTTGTAATATTTTTTGCCTTTCCGACTCCTTCACGAGCTTTACCATAAAGACTTTTCTTCTCCAAGAAAATGTCCTAGTCTATGTGAACAACATCTTGCTTCTCCATTCTCTAGTGAATCTAAGGAAGACTTTGGATCAAGAGTCTTCTGAAATTGGATACGATATTGATTTCACCATTATGCCTGAAACCAGATCTGAAAGCAAATTTGAAGAAGAAAATGAATCAATCATGATTGAAATTAAAAGAACGGAAGGTGGAAACCTGGCCTATCGACCTGGATTCTGGCATCTCAACCTGGACTCTGGCCTTTCAACCTGGACCCTGGCCTTTCAGTCTGGACCCTGGCCTCTCGACCTAGACCTTGACCTCTCAACCTGGACCTTGGACTCTTAATCTCGACCCTGGCTGGACTCTCAGTCTGGACCCTGGTCTCTCAACCTGTACTGTGGCCTCTCGAGCTGAACCCTGGCCTCTCAACCTGGACCCTTGCTTCTCAACCTGGACTTTGGTCTCTCAGCGTCCACCCTAGCCTCTCAAAATGAATCCCTGGCCGATCAGCCTGGACCCTGGCTTCTCAACTTATAGCCTGGACCCTTGCTTCTCAACCTGGACATTGGTCTCTCAGCCTCTACCCTAGCCTCTCGAAATGGACTTTGGCCTCTCAGCCTTAACCCTGGCCTCTCAACCTGGACACTGGCCTCTCTGCCTAGACATAGGCCTCACAACCTTGGCCCTGGCGTCTTTGGCCCGACAACCTTGATTTTTTCCTAACATCAAGGATGTTGGAAAAACACAAAAATTCTTTGAAAATTTTGATCTTGAATAAGGCATTTTTGCTAAAATATTACTAGAGTTTATTGCAAGTTTCTTGGACTTCTTATTGTTGGTAGCAAAAGTAAAGTATACTAAAATGATAATCAATGTTCCATACTTATCTATACACTACTTAGTGACTGTAATCACTAGGAATAATGAGAAAAAAAATTTTATGCGCTTTAAAAAAATGTGTTTGTTAAAGGGTTAACAAAGGTTTTGCGTGCCAAAAACTCCAATGTGACTTATATTAGGGTTGACTTCCTGCAACACAAAACAGTAACAAGTGGTTGTTTAATCAAATAATGTGTTTCTTGATGGATAATATTGAATATCAAGCTTGTACTTTTATTAAAAACCTTGTAACATAAGAATTACCAGGTGGTCCTGTCTTACCCCAGCCTGGTCCCATCTTACCCCAGTGGGGTACGATGGGACCAGCTCACTTTTTTTAATCTGTACAGAAAACTGTGTTGTTTGCAAAATGTCTAAGTTGTAGCTTAGAAGCCCATTGCTTAACTACACTTTGTGATAGGTTTAGGGTTTTTTAGTAATTCATGGCATAGATGCTACATACTTGTTAGGGATTTCAGTCCTGTCTTACCCCATCTGACTATATTGCACCTGAGATTACTATTTGGTAGCCTATTTTAAGAAAATTAATTTGCCCTCTGGGCATGTGCTCTTGAATTAGCCTAAGAGGCTAGTTATCACGATGCTTGCCAATTATTGTGCTTAGTTTTGCCTTATTCTGCGGATGCTAGCATTAAAGATGTTTCAGCTCACATTGACCAATGTCCAAGATTTATTCTGAACGTCATGATGTCTAGGCTTTCCAATGACTTCAGTGAGTCTATTTGTTTTAATAACATTCAAATTTTCCTCTGTTGAACTGTTGTTGTTGTTGGGGCATTTGCTGCGGCTGTCCTCTTGTTTATAATCAGTATGCTGGTGGATCTGGTGAGTGAAGGTGCTAGTGTGTTGTCAAACGGGTGGACCGGCCCATAAAAAGCATTGATCAGTTCGAAATCTCTAAATAGCATGTCCTTTTATAGTACCTGTATTATTGCACCATGCTGAGTCAGATACATGTCAATGCCTGCAGGCTGCAGAAGACCAGGTGGCATCTATGTTCTGATTCTTGGATCAGGGGAACCTCCTACACACGCCCTTTATTGTCAAAGCATATTAGAGCTTTCAGGAGTTGAACCTACAGATGCCACTGTCTGCAGCAAGCTCCATCTTTGTCACTTTGTGGATGTCTGCTATTCTACAGTTCTACCTCATGTAGATTTTTCCTCCAGCATCTGCTTGGATTTCCTGTGCTCTGCAGTCAATTCAATGCCACCTCAAATTACACAGAATTACTTTCAAGACTTCTGAAGTTCCCATTCTCTGGAAGCAGTATTATCCTTAACATCTACAGATCTATACTGATGGATCACGGGCTGCCACTGGATCTGTCTCTGCTGACCTACATGTGCCATCAACCCAACTTGAGACTGGGTGGCTATGTGGCTGCTAGATCCAATGCACACTGTACTGGATGTGAACTTTTTGCTATATACAAGGCTATGCAGCTTGCCATCACGGATGTGTCTCTACAGAGTAAACCAGTTCTCATCTTGTCTGATTCACAAGCAGCACTGCACTTGATTTCTTCCACTTATGGTGTCTCTAATAGTTGGATTGTCTTTCAGATACAGAAATTGATGCAAACCAAGGGGCTCAATACAATTGAATGGTGATGTGCTGGATTTGTGGTCACAGTGGTCACAGCCAGATTTTTGGTAAAAAAAATTTACTGACAGAATTGCAAACATTGCACACTCAAATGATCACTCTGCAAGATCCACTTTTGTGCTTTTGGGAGTGGCAATAATTGTAACACTGAGCATCCTGGTGGTCACCAGAACTAAAAGTTCTGGCCTCATGAAAGGAAGTTTTCAAGCTGGACCTGAGAGCAGCAGTGGATTATGTGGTTTAAGGATCTTTACCATGCTCTGCAGAAAGTGCTAAGGCTTGTCTGCAACTTGGCCATGATGGTGTGAAGGCCCACTAGGCTCATTTCAATTTGTCTAATTCCAGTATGTGCCCTACATACAATATGGAGGACACTATTAGTCATTTTACCTTACAGTGTTCACTCCACTCATTTCACCTTGCAGAAACCAGAGGAGGGAGTTGTGCTCAAACTTGGAAAATCTTTCACTTCCTTGGAACCTTGTATTAGCTCTTGGTGGGGGAGACATCTCTCAGTAAATTTGCACAGCAGTAATTCTTTGGCTGGGATAATACCTGCTGATCTGCAGCATGGTGAATTGTTATTTATTAATACTATTGTGTCCCTGATTATCCTATTATGCACCTCCAAGTATAAGAAGTGGGTTTCTGCATTGGTGGTTAATGGCAGGAACCATCATCTTGCTGCAAGGTTGCCAGTCAAAGTGTAGTGGCTTTGATTTGTCTTTGTCTGGCTTATGTTGGGGTTGGTTCATATCTTATCTTTTTGACATGGCTTATACTACTGTCACAGGTGCCTTCATTTAGGAGTTGAAGATTTAATAGAACACTTCTCCTTTTTGTTGAATATGATTTTGGTCAGCAGGTATTAAGTATGTGTGCCTCTTGTTAGTCTTGTATTACTTGCATGTCTGTGCTGTGCTTTGCTTTGTGTGCTTTCGGGCAGTGGCAATTACCCAAGAGCCCTATACAGTTCAGAACTCCATTAATAGGAGTGATGGTAGCTTATCTTACTTGAACTGATTGTCTAACTTCCTTGCGTCTTCCTTGTGAATATGTGCAGAGAAAAATGAAGCTGAAAGGTAGAACATGAATTATATTAACTTGATTAACCATAGATAAGTGAGGGTTTAACAAGTGACCAACTTGTGACTTCATTAACAACCTAGCACAAATAATCGTACTTGATTGGCAGAATGTCAACGAACTTTGAAAATTTTGATGTGCGGGACTGCATGATCATAACCAAAGCCGTGAAGTCAAGAAATGCTGAGAATGTGGAGGTAAGTAAAAATTTGTTTAAGCATTTTCAGTGTTATCTTGTATTTCTAGAGAATAGTTTTTTAAATCAAATTTTATGGAATGGAAATTTTTAAAATGAAAGTAGCCTTTTGAGTGGAAAATATCTACTTATACTACTGATTGAAAATTATTTTTAATTGATATAAAATGCTTTTATGCAATTTAAATGGCCAAAAGAGTTCCACAAGGAAATTAAAACTTCTGAAACAAATAAAACTATGAATATTGATTGTATGACCATATTTATGAGTAAAATTTAGAAATAGGGATTATGGTTAATATATTCAATATTAATCAGTTGTATCACTAGCTTGATCCATGAATGTTAGCATACTTATCAAAGAAAAGTTTAGTTTAAGATATTTCAATTTCATATATGTGAACCGGTACCTTTTCAATATTACCCATTTCAAATTTCACTAAGAATTCTGCCAAAATTGTTCAGTAGGGCCTTTTAGGTTAAAATATTTGCAGCTTTCAAGCATGCCATCTCAACCTTAAATTGCACATTTGTGTAGTTTTAGGTCTGATCACAATTAACTGATTGTGCCATAAAGTTAAGTATTGCTGTTCACTGTTGATTGGTAACTGAGGTGTAATTTTAGAAATGAAGGACCACGTAGCTATGCAAGATGCCCCATTGCCTGCAGCACACTGTAGAGAGACAAGAACAACAGAGCAGTGGAGGAAGCTCAAAAATTCTAATTGCCGCTGATGTAACATGAGATTTGTTTTTGATTAGAATAAAATTTTGCTTTCGCTAAATTAGTTTTGCTGCTACATAATTTCTACAAAATGTAGGACGACTGTCCCGATTTACTCTGCCCGTCCCATATTACACTTTTTTTGACCGTAACAGGTCATGATCTTGTTTGTTAGTTGTTCGTTGAACCTTACAATATTATTGAGAGAATGTTACCAACATGCCAAGGTATGTAAAATATCAGTTGTTTGAGCAAGAACATTGAAATAACAATTCTAGCCAATTACAGATCATCAATGTCAGTCAATCATCAAACCCTGATGTCAGAAGCTCAGAAGCTGAACTCTATCATGAAACTGGCATTAATTCTTTAAGTGAAACTACATACAGAAAATGAAGCAATTGCAAGTTACTACTTAAGGGGGGGGTATACCCTCCAGGAAACCTTCCGCATTTACTAAAGGATCTTTCTGAAACTTCACACATATATGTAAAACCAAAATACAAGAACATTTTGTTCGTACGATTTTTTTGGAAAAATTAATAGAAAACGTGAAATTCATGGAAAACGGACAAAAAAGGGGGTACTGTACAAATTTATCTCCTCCTAGGGTTACAAGCTACCACATTGAGACACATATCATTTGATGCGTAAAGACCATACCAATTAACGAAGCACAATTTTTAATTTTTGCCTTAGTTATTTTTTTAAACATATTTTTCCGGTTTCTTCTCATTTTCTCCAAATTTTCCCCATTCCCCCATTTTGAATCCAAACTAATCACAAATCTAAGAAAAGGCTTTGTTACTCGATAGGTATGGTCTTTACGAATTGAATTCTATATGTCTCATCGCTGTAGCTTCAAAACTTTAGGAGGAGATAGGTTTTCTGTGACAATAACTGTGAATGTTCAGGAGAGCACAACAAAGTCCTGCCCACATCGCAATAGGCACTCAATGTAGCAAGGATATGAAAATAAATGTTACTGGAGCTTGATTCCACTCAAGGATGGTGGGAGCGACTGCATGCACACCTCCTCATAAAATGCCAGGCGGGTTACTGAGCTGCACCTCAAGCAAACACTGTATTTATAGTGCTGGCAGCTAATTAGTTCCTATCTAATTTGTTAAAGAACTCCCCCTCCCGCCCCCCTTTCATGATCTGTCGTGAAAGCATAAATCAACGTACAGAGATGGCAATGGTACCGTTGGATAGGGCAGAATGTCAGCTTTCAGATGAGACTAAAAACCGGAAAAGACAAATCCGAAAATTTTGGGGTATACCTCCCCTTAAAATATCAGGCATAGATGTAAGACTTGAATAAAAACATGATCATCTTAAAAGAACACTCTGATGATTGCAAATATGATTTAGTTTAACCATGATGTTGCTTGCTACCATTGCAAATCCTTTGATAGCAGTCCTGTTGCAGAAACAAGAAGCTGCCTCCTTGCAACAAGCCTTATTTGATTACTGCACATCAATAATTTAAATTAATGATGCATGACAAACTTTAGTTAATGAAGTGCAGTAAATATGCAGTTAGCAAATATTAACCAGATTGGGGCTGTTGTTTCTCATTGCAGTCTTCCTATTTGTCAGAAATATCAAGTTATCAATGAATGGTTATATATTAATCTTTTGAATTTATCATCAAATTTGTTTATTTTGCAGGAATACCTTTACTGTAAAACAACAGAATTTTGTTTAAAGGAAAACTCAAAGCTGCAACATACCTACAATTTAATTATCTGATAAGCTATTTAACCCATTAAAGTCAAGTATTATTTTGTGAAAAATTAAATATTTTTGTATCAGTTTGAATAATTTATTTGGTTATTACAAATCTAGTAAAACATTCATTTTACAGACATTCAACACTTTTGCTAAAATATGGTCTGGCAACTAAAGTTGCCACTCAGCAGTAAGAAAACAAATTTGAACTTCTATGTAATGTATGGTTACGATATTGACTATGGCCAATAGAACTAAATTTTCTATAGGTAAATTGAACAAATGAAATGAATATTTTGAAATGATTATTATGTATGCATTCAGTATTTAAATCATTGATAAATTCATGAGAAAATAGGCCAATAACATTTATAATGGTAAACATTATTGATCACCATTGCGGCATAGAAGAATGAACATTGCGTGATTAACTTTCATGCATCCTGGGTGACGAGCAATAGTGCATAATTTGCATTTGCATGCAGTCCTTTCTTTGCTGTTGAGACATTTTGCATACTTTGTTACTTCTTTCACCATCCAGTTGTCTGCTGTAGATATCTGGACAATATTCTAAGCGGTTCCATGTCATGTAAATTTAGGACCCCTTTTCTTTCTAGCTTAACTATGAGTCTTCATGGTTCCAATAATAACATCTCTGATGAATGTTTATTACTAAATATTGCAACCGCATGCATTGAAAAGTCTCTAAGCATTTACAGCTGCTCAGGCACTAACTACGGTGGTGGCTCCAGAAAAGGGGCTCCCACCATTTTTTGGAATGAATTTTTTATCCTTTATGCTGCTAACTGTTGGTGAAACAAATTAAACCAGTAGAGTCTTCTATGAGGCAGTTTCTTATGCCATGGGAGAAGCAATACAGGCAGAAATATTTTAATGCTATCAAGAATGATCTCCTTATACCGCAGATTTTGTTGCTAAGCTCATAATTAGCTCTGTTCACACAAATGGTGCATCCATTCGTTAGTCTAGATGTAATTCATTGCATCTAATGAGGTACTTTTCTCAGTCAGAGAGACCTTTGATAGCATGTCAATCATCTAGCAAGGCGCAGTATTGACAAAGTCACTTTATTTTTACAACATTTTTAACAATTTGCTTCTGCTTCTTTGATGGTGGTTCTGTTACTTCTGAGCCCGTGGATGCTTGGCATGGTGTAGAAACTTCCTTTTGTTCATAGTCATCATGACAACATGACTTATCAATATATATCTGAGCCAATGATCAGGTTTGCATGCAATCTCATCATCAAAATCATCTGAATCCATGTATGATTGTGCCTGAGTAATTTCAATTGAATGAAGAATTGCAAACAAAGCTCCAGTGCCACTTTCATCCTACACTACAATATATTGTTAAATTCTGGCAAAGTTCACTTGCAAAATAAATATATGTGAGTATATATTATAGATAGGTATTACTATCAAACTTCATGAAAATATCTTACTGTTGACGGGATGTTAACTTATTTTGTTATAATATATGTAGAACATGAGGTAGCCCTTTTTCTCCAACATTCATGCAAAAGTACAGTTTTCATGTCACAAATGCTGAGTGGCAATTTCAGTTGCCACTATGTATTATTTAGCTTATTTGTCTATAATTTCAATGTTTATTGCCATTTATGAATTTTGTCTGATCACTAGACTCCTAATCCATCATTTAAAAGCATGGAATTATAAAATATTTACTTACAAGCAATAGGAACATGGCATTTTCTGAAGGCTGGTACAGGCCTGATCATAAACATTATGACCACCAGTAGTTTATAGGTCAACTGACTGAAGCATGAGCAATTGAGGTGAACAATTCTTGTTCAGTAATTGTATGGAATGTATATGATGTGGTGTAGGACTACAAAACTGAAATTTACCTTATATTATGAATGATACAACCATATTTTTGTAGCTTTTATGGGTTTGGCCATTGTGCAAGAGAAATTTTTCAAGGCCAACTACGTTCCAAGATGGATAAAAAAGGAGAAAGCATGGTGTTATTATTTTATCCAAAGATAAAAGGGTAATTTGCAAGACACAAGTTCTGTTGATGGATATGATAATTCCCAAAAGTGCATTGGCTGTTTTTCCTTGTCAATAAATTTGTTGCATATTATAACTATTCCTAGATTTTTTATTTAAAACTTAGATTTTTGTTTGAATTCATTGCTTTATTGTTTGAACATGGTTATATTTGTGGTTTTTTGTTTCTCATCTAGACCTGATATTTTGAGCAATATTTTAAATTTTTTCATCTATGCTTCCAGTTCCACTTAGGAAATTAATGCCATTTTCATTTGAGCTCAACTTCTGAGCTGCTGACTTCAAGATTTGGGAAATAGATGAACCCAAATTGATAACCTAACCTATGTTAGGTTAACAATTTTCCTAATATTATGAACACACTTTGCTTTGCATGTCTATTGGCTAGAATTGTTATTTCCATCATTTTCCATGTTTTCGCTCAACAATGGATATTTCAAACACCTGACATGTTTAGAACATTCTCTGTCTAATGCTGCAAGGTTC